TTGTCATTGGACATTGTCCTCAGGTCAGAGCTTAAAAGCAACAACAATATATTCATTTGTATAGCTTCATTATTCTAATGTGCCAGACATTTAAAATATCACAACATAAATAACATAAAATGTTCTTTCATTACATATAATTAAAATGAAAATAAAAACATGGCAGTAGCTGTTTATAGTTGACCCTATCAATAAAGAAAACCTCAACAACAAACCAACAAAAATTAGCACTTCAAATACTGAAAACATCTTGATTGCTTGTTCATCACAATTTTCATAGACATACACTTAAAACAATAATGCAATAATGTAATGCAAAACAGTACATGAACTGGGATCGTTATTCTATGCATATTACAGAAATCAAAGGTTTTGTACATCCAACACTGTGTCTACCAACTAACACAAAAGGTACAAGGTAGCCTGAATTAAAATTATGTAGTTGAAAATAAAATTATATCAATTCAATTCATTTAAGTAAAAGATGATATTTAATTAATTCATAAGGATATTAAACACATGATCTGATCAGAGTTTCTATCAATTAAAACATTATATAAAAGTAAAACAAAATATTAAAGGTCACTATTGAATTTCAATAATTAAGTGTAATATACATAAAACAATTATAACAATAAAAGATTTAAATTATACACATTGGATGGTTTTACATAGCCTCTTAATTTCAGGCCAAATAATAAAACAAAACAATATCCAAGAGATCATGAACACGTTTCTTGTACACTGACCTTGATATACTCCTGAAGTTTTTTTAAAACTAAACTGTACACATTATGATATACAAACTTAATGTTTTTTCATCAAAAGAAAAGCTAAAACAGATTTTAATACACGATTTTCAATTCTATAAACGAACATTTGTCATTATTTTCCTTTTTTAAAACAAAAGGTTATACAATAGAAACAAAAAATATAAAGGTATAATTAGCTCTTTTCTTAAGTGTATATTTACAGAACATTTTTTAATGGGTAAACAACAATCTTCAGAGATTTCATGTATAAACATAAAACAGAAAAACAACAAAACATATGTTTCTTCTAAAATACACATACCAGTATATATTTATTGTACAGTAAGCTTAATAATTCTATTTTACCTTTAAAAGGCAAAAATTGTGTCATGGATTTGCCCTGCTTTGAATTTGGGACAGTCTATTCAAAGTTTAAGGGATTTAAATATCAATTTGCAAAATGAGCTACCAATAGAACTTGGTTAGACTGCAAGGATCTGTGGGTTGTCATAGCTCTTTAACTGGTGGTCAAGGCTTATCACTACTGGTGCCTGAAAGATAAAGTATTTATTAAAGGCCCATTATGTCTCCGTATTTAATAAAGGCCCATTATGCCTAAGTATTTAATAAAGGCAAAATTTGCCTCGGTATTTATTACAGGCCCATTATGCCTCAGTATTTATTAAAGGCCCACTATGCCTCAGTATTTAATAAAGGCCCATTATGCCTCAGTATTTATTAAAGGCCCATTATGCCTCAGTATTTATTAAAGGCCCATTATGCCTCGGTATTTATTAAAGGCCCATTTTGCCTCAGTATTTATTAAAGGCCCATTATGTCTCAGTATTTATTAAAGGCCCATTATGCCTCCGTATTTATTAAAGGCCCATTATGCCTCGGTATTTAATAAAGGCCCATTATGCCTCAGTATTTATTAAAGGCCCATAATGTCTCAGTATTTATTAAAGGCCCATTATGCCTCCGTATTTAATAAACGCCTATTATGCCTCAGTACTTATTAAAGGCCCATAATGCCTCGGTATTTATTAAAGGCCCATTTTGCCTTGGTATTTTTTAAATGCCCATTTTGTCTCAGTATTTAATAAATGCCCAGTGCCTCAGTGTTTATTACAGACCCATTATGCCTAAGTATTTATAAAAGGCCCATTTTGCTTCAGTATTTATAAAAGGCTAATTATGCCTCAGAATTAATTTATGACACATTACTGCATGTTCAGCACTACTTCTTCAGTTGTTAAACATCCAGCATGCTCCCAATCCATTATCAAAACATTATTGAACACATGTTTTACATTTCTAAAGAATTAAAAAATATGGATTTCTTATGCATATTGTGTAACTGAATTTATATAAGGAGCAATAAACTAAGCTTATAAATACATGTACCTTACCCACAAAAAATTAACATTAAACATTCCCGGATTCCCCTGTTATAATTATCACTTTCAACTGCACCTATAGAAACTTCACAACTATCCCTTAACAAAATCCTGGAAAACATTTTGTTTTGCAGAAGTCTAAAAGTAAACAAGTTTCAGGGCATTGTCACAAGGTTCTAGAATATTGGCTAATTTCACAAGTGAATTATACAACAACAACAACAACAAAAAGCCATAAATTCTGTCAAAAGTGATGAAATCTTAAAATCCCAACTAATGTGCCAGGTTATCTTTTTTTTGTTTTGGGTTTTACGTCACATCGACACAGTATAGGTCATATCGCGACGTTCCAGCTTTACTGGTGGAGGAAGACCTCAGGTGCCCTTCCGTGCATTATTTCAGGCACGAACGGGCACCTGAGTAGAACCACCGACGTTCCGTAAGCTAGCTGGATAGCTTCCTCACATGAAAGAATCCAAAGAACCCACAGCGGTGAGGGGCAAGTGGTTTGAAGTCAACGACCTTAACCATTCGGCCACGGACGCCCCGCCAGGTTATTTAATAACAGTAAGTCCCCAAGACAAATTGGCTGAAGTCCTTTGTTAAATGTAGATATTGGGCACAGGAGAAAATATTAACATCCCCTTGCCAGCTCAAATACAGATCAACATACATCAAGTTTTTATCCCTGTAATTTTCCTCAGAATCCTGGCAAACAAAGTTATACATGGCATGACATAGCAATTTCAAAGGACTGCATTATAAAGTCAGTTGTTTAAATGAGTGCTAATTTATTAACGTTATGTTTTCTGAAGCTCCAGTATTATTACAGAAATCTTACACAAGGAGCTGATGCATGTTGATATATGAGCCGCGTCATGACAAAACCAACATTGTAGTCTGATCAGGATCCATGCTGTTCGCTATCAGTTTCTCTACTTGTTATAGAGTTTGTAAGCGAACAGCATGGATCCTGATCAGACTGCGCGGATGCGCTGGCTGGTCTGGATCCATGCTGGTCGCAAACCCATTATGTTGGTTTTGTCGTGACGCAGCTCATATATGGTGTGGGTGTAACTGTTTTGCAGGGTACCAAGGCTCGCGGAGATATTCCTGATGGCTATGACAGCAAGTGTTTTTCTTATACATTACATATTGATAGTAACAGATCAAAAAGAAATTAAGAAAATTCATTTTCATATAGCACTTTTTTCATTAAAATGCCATAGCACTTTTTTCATTATAGTAGCTTATTAATAAACAATTGAAAGTTAATATATAAAGGTAGAATAACATCATTCTAAGCACATAACTCATTAATAAAGATGTGGAAACAAAATCCTTTCAAGCACACAACACATCTAATGCCATAATTTTTTTTTCAGACTTAAAGTGACACTAACACTATAAATGACATTTACCAGCACTGGTGTTGACTCAATCCAAATTACCCATACAACACAATCTTCATACATATAAAATTTTATGGTATCTCCTTTTTACAACAATTACCAGTAACTTTCAACAACAATAAATTATACTTAAACATTATGAGTGTAAGGGGAAGATATATCCATAAAACAAAAACTTTCATGCCAAAATCTGTTAATAAGTGATAAACTTACAGAAAAAATATCAGATTTCTTTTAAACCTATAACACTATGTCAAAGTTCTTTAAAGGTCACTGTCTTATTTCAGAATGTCTATATAGGTCACTGTCCTATTTTAAAATGTCTATATAGGTCACTGTCCTATTTCAGAATGTCTATAAAGGTCACTGTCATGTTTCAAAATGGCTATAAAGGTCACTGTCTTATTTCAGAATGTCAAACAAGAAAAACTTAACAAAAGGTATGTTCTGTTTTAGTATGAAGGATTTAGCTTACATACAGAATATATATTTTATGATAAAGTCTAATATTGTGTCCTGAGACAGACAGGACAAGATACAAATTGATGTGTCAAAATGTGCACATAAAACTAGATCAGTAAGTTATGTAAATAAATTGTTAATGCCCCTTTAACTTCTGAATGACCTATGGTGAAAATCTTTCAGTATTTTGTACCAGTCAATGAACTAGAGTGGTTGGACCAATGCTCGGCGCATACCAATGCTCGGTGTAAAATTATTTTTTTTTAGAATATCTGAAAATGTCTCGAGATATCTCCGATTTAGGTCACTGGTGCTTTTATTTACATCTTTCACTATTTTATCCTGGTGTGGTTCACTGCTGGTAAAGTCACGTGACAATGCTAATAGCAGACGAACAACTGTATGTAATCCCTAAAATATAAATTATTAAAATCTTTTAACACTTAAGTTCTGGGGCTGTAAAATTTAAACTAAAAGTTGGGTACTTGTAAATGTATGAACCTAATTTGGTTGTTACAATTTATTCAATATGTTTTCGTCATAAGATAAAAAAGAGATTTTATTCGAAAACAATCCTACATCATGTAGTATTGTACGCCGAGCTATGGTACAATTTCACGCAAACCACTCTTGTTTATCCGGACTATCTATAGCTCCAGCCATGCACATCATTATGTGATTAGCAAATTTTACACAATGGCTATTTAAAACAATATCATCTTGAAAATGGAATATAACATTGAGGTTTGTTGACGTTGATTTGAATTTGCCATATCAAATATAGTATTGTTACACCGAGCGTTGGTCCACCCACTCGAGTTGACAAATTCAATATCTACAAGTCTGAAAGTGAACACATTAAAAATTGATAACTGCGTTCAAAAACTTGAATTGTAAAAAAAAAATTTTAATATTGACCATTATAAAACTTATATCACATAAATCAGTGATAAATTATCTTTAAATGATATAAAATTCATTATAATATGCATTTTGATGATGATCATTATCAGTTAATCTTAAAACACAAGTGTATTTTTTAACAAAACAACATTCAGTTTATATAAACTTTTTCTATTTTTTATAATTGGAGCAACAGGCCTGGAGGACTATTCCCAAAACATATTACTGTTTATGAAAATTTAATTCATATCAATTGTACAGAAACAGTCTTATATCATTAAAATACTGATTTGTAACAATTGTGTAACAAGAAAATTGCAACAGACCCACCAAATGTATAAATTCTATAATCTTTAAGATTTTTTTAAGGAGCACTACCCCAAGAGACAGTATACTTTCTGTTTGTCCGTAGGTATAAATATACAAACTAGACAATAAATCATCGGCTGCATCACAATGGTGAAACTTGTTCCCGTAACTTTTCATCAGATTCTTTATGTACAGAATCACTTTGGTCATGTGATCCAGTAGCACCTGTCAGATCATGTGACCTGCCCGCCGTGTCACATGGTACATCACTTGTAGTTACACTGTAGCTGTAATTGCGTCGACATTTAATGCCCATTACGTCCATATACTCTGGTATGATATGCTTATTAAACAAAACGTTGGTCAAAAAAGACACAAATAAAATTGTTATAAATGAACACAGCATTGAAAATGTCCGGAATGGAAATAACTGACCCATTTCTTCACTGTACCAAGGGTAATGTATAAAACTGTCAAAATCTAAAAAATGCTCGCCAGCGCCTATACGGCAAATGGAACCAACAAGAAAACCACATAATGCCCCGTATGAGTTTGAAAATTTGAAGAAAAGTGCACAGGTTAATTGTGGTAATACTATAACAAACACAATATCTGCCGCCAGTATAAACATGCCGTATATGATAGGAACGTAGATTGATATCACTGTTGCTATGATACCGATCAAAAATATAGCTGTTCTTTGTATCCATAGTAACTCTTTATCTGATGCCTGGGGAAAAAAAACATAGTTACAGTAATTAATGGTAAGCAATAATCATCCTTTACAAACTAACAAATTTCCAAGCAATTTATTATGATAACATTACACTTGCATATTAAAATCTTTGTATGAGAATAAAGACTTGAAATTTTAGGGGAAAAAAAACATGTTTAAATCAAGAATTTAAGAATGGCATTTTTCAAAGTAAACATAGAACTTGATCATATATCATGATATCTATTTTAATGTTTTCATATTCAGAATAATATAGAAGCATATGCCTGAGTATCTATATTTCCATTATTGCTGATGTGTTTATTTTGTAACACATTGTAAAGAGAGTCATAATTCATGTAATTGATACTTAAGGATTATTTTCCTTATTTAATGATGCATTTAAGATAGAATATCACCAGATGCAAGAAAATGTTAAATATGAAAACTTGGGAAGTGTTCAAAACATTTTAACTATTACCATGTGTAAAAGAAAACAAAACTTAACATTGGCCATATAATAATTGTTTTCGACGTCAAATTCTGCATGTACTTCACATGAATAATCAATAACCCACTTGACCCACAGAAGTTTCTAAACATACCCTTTGGAATGTATCAGAAATATTTAATTGATTAAAAGAATGGGGCAGTATTTGCATATTTCATTCAGCTTTATTTTCAACACATTATCAATCATTGGCTTATCACCATTACAGTGAAACAAATAATATTGTCTGTTTATTTGAAAGTTTGGTCACTCATAAGAAAGTATGTGTGATTTTAATTAACTGTACCTCTGCATCTAGCTCTTTTACAAACTGAAAAGCTTAGACAATTTTATTCATAATATAATGTATCTGCCTACCTTTTGTCTAAAGATATGTTTATATATATTGTATGTAAACATGGAACTAGATCCTAGTATAGAACTGTCCATTGATGACATTACTGCAGCTGATATAGCTCCCAAACCTGAAATAAATTACACAAAATAAAGTATGTTTCTTTTTAAGAAAATGATTTAAGTTTAAGTTCAACCAGTAACTGTAAAGTGCATTACTTATAGCTGGAACTTAAGTAAAACATTTAACCTTCTGTTTTAGCTCCCTTACATGATTCAGATTTATAAAATAGTCACTGGTCAACTCTGCCTACACACTTTTGTTAACTCCTCCCCCATACACTTTCGTTTACCCCGCCCACACACTTTCGGTACCTCCTCCCACACACTTTTGTTAACTTCTCCCACACACTTGTTAACTGCTCCCAAATACTTCTAAACTCGGCAAACACTTCTGTGAACTTGCCCAACAAACATTTGTCAAATTCTTCCACACATTATCTTTATATTTGTATTGCTGTCTCTGTCATTTACAGACACTTTAAAACCTTGCAGGTGATTTCTGATGAAACATGACCTCCTTGTGAGATGCATTCTAACTTGGCTCCCAACAAAACATTTATTTTAATTGATCACACTTTTTAATATAAAACAGACTTAAATTATCAATATTGGAGTATGATCAATGTCACATGGAATATTCAAACCTTGCTTAATAAATGTACCTAAAACCCTTACCTAAGATTGAGACAGCCGGAGGGGTAAATTCATAAAGAACATAGGGCAGGATCATACTTCCTTTACCAATCTCTAGAGGTGAAATACCCAACTTGGTGCCATTCCAATCTGTGTAAGTTCAAAGACAAAGACACAGTTATAATATAGAAATTAATTGGACACAATCATGTTTCGTCAAAATCTTAGCTAAAACAACTATACCAAGTACAAATGTACATATATCAAATTTATACATGTGGAGATGCTACCTACATCAATACAGTGATAATTTGAAAATAAATATTTGTGAATGACCACACCAAAAACAACTTGGAAAAACCATTAAGTGCAGACAGGCTGATAATATTTTGGTCATATAACAGGCAGTAGATACAGAGCAAGTATCCCTGTGTCTGTACTAATGTAAGTCACTTTTATGCAAGCAACTGGTATTTTGTTTATGTACAAAACTACTTTTTTTACAGACATACAGGATGAATAGAAATAGAAATTTTGTCTTCCAACAAATTTAGAAAACTTGTCTTCCAACAAATTTTTTAAGTTAGACACATGCTGTGAACAGGATTTAAATAATGTGGTCAAAATAATTGGTAAACCAGTCTTTCTCTTTTTTGTTTGGTTTTACATCGCATCAACACAGTACAGGTCATATGGCGGCCAACTTTTTCCAGCTTTATTGGTGAAGGAAGACATAAGGTGCCCCACCATACATTATTTCAGGCATAAATGGGCACCTGATTAGAACCACCAACATTCCAGTTAGATAGCTGGATAGCTTTGTCAAATGTAGAATCAGTCTTTAGGTATATTTTTGTAAATATGTTTTTTTGACATTTACCTGCAGATTTACCAGCAGCTCCTATAAGGACTGAAGGTATGACAAGAATCAGTGCTGAACAACCACCGGCAATTGATAAAACCTGTGCTTGTTGACTAGTCTTCACAGATAATACACGCTGAAAGTACGCCTGCCAAGGTATTGTCCCAAATGTCTGCAATGTCATATGTGTACATTTATTATTTAACAATAAAATTACTACTATGACTTGAACTTGCTATTGTTCAACTCACATTTTCTTTATTTGTTTCCAGCTTCACTGGTGGAGGAAGAACTCAGGTGCTCCCGTGCAATATTTCAGGCATAAACAGGCACCTGAGTAGAACCAACAACGTAGCCTCCTCACATGAAAGAATTCAAAGTCCCTGGCCAGATTCGACGAACCCATAGCAGTGAGTGGCAAGTGGCTTAATTTCAGCAATCTGAACTACGCAGCCATGGACGCCCTAACTCACATATTGATAGTGATTCCTGTTCTGGTTATGTTTAATTGTTAATGTGTTTATGTCAAACTATGTTACAAGTATAGAGCTTGGGCCCAACAGCAAGTTGACAAAGGGGCATAACTTAAAATATTAAATTTACAGATGTACCATGCATTATGGGAAATGGTAAGTAAAAATAACAAGTGGACAAATACCAATTACTTTTACATATGCTCCCCTAAAAACATAATTTTGGGAAACATTTATTTTTTATCCAAACTTCATACGTCTTTTTAAATTTTAATCTTGAAGGAACCTATAAATGGTTAGCCTTTGCCACTAGCATGGTGCCAGGCGAGCCTGCACTGTTATACATGTATTATGACCAGGATCTATACTGTTGATTAAGCACAAATATTTTATCTTGATATCAAAATCTCTATAGCTTTATATAAACTGTTCTAATTCCAAAACTGGGCAAACCTATTATACAAATTCAGCAGTTTAAGGGTTAAAGGCACATTATGCCTCAGAAATCCTTTTTTTGATTAATTCTTCAGAAATGTAAAATGAATAATGTTTTAATTATGGATTTAGAACATGTAAGATGTTTAACAGCTGAAGAAAGTAGTGCTGAATGTGCAGTAATGTGTCGTAAAGGTAGCAAAATGTAAACAAATAGTATTTTAACTTCCATACAAAATACTAATTCATTATAATTATACCAATTGCCAGCAAAGCAAAAGATGCAAAGATAGTTCATTTACATGGCAAATAAGTATTTTTTGTGGAACTTGTAACAAGACACCAAATATTTAAAATTTTGAGAAATAAAAATGATAGCATTTCTGACGCATAATGTGCCTTATTCATTTATATTATTTGTTATAAAGATTTTGAACAGATTATATGGCTTTATATAAACAGTTGTGAGGAAATATAACCCAAATCCCTAGGAAAAGGTACAAAGATTTTGAACAGATTATATGGCTTTATATAAATGGTTGTGAGGAAATATAACCCAAATCCCTAGGAAAAGGTACACAGATTTTGAACAGATTATATGGCTTTATATAAACGGTTGCGAGGAAATATAACCAAAATCCCTAGGAAAAGGTACAAAGATTTTGAACAGATTATATGGCTTTATATAAACGGTTGTGAGGAAATATAACCCAAATCCCTTGGAAAAGGTACAAAGATTTTGAACAGATTATAATTATGGCTTTATATAAACAGTTGTGAAGAAATATAACCAAAATCCCTAGGAAAAGGTATGGCAAACAACCGTTTATGTACGGCCATATCACCTGTCAGAAATATCTATAATGAACTTATAATACAGCAAACATTTTCTTAAAAGAAAAAAGTGAGTTTTTTTTATAAATTGACAGAAGCCGTGTATATGAACTTATATTTAACATCACGATTATCCAGTAAAAAGTGATGTTACAAACTTGTAATATTATAAATAGGTAACTAAGATCTATTTGTATCAGCGCACATACATGTAATTCCCATTGACACTACTAGACTAAATATCATACTTTAATACCATATATGTGAGAGTGTTACTCTAAACATAAGGAACATTATTTACAAAATCAATCAGATTATTCACTTACCATGGCAATAAGTAGATCCACCCACTGTGCTGAAAGATTTTTGTTCAGTTCTCCAAGCCAGTTGGTTGAATCTGGTGAAATATTTCCAACACTTTTGTTGGTTAGCACAAATGGTACACTAAGCACCTGAAATATATATATCTTTATAAATGATAAAAACAATAAAGTTTGAAACAAATCCATTCATTAATAATATCAAAGTTTTTGCATATTTTACGAAGATTCAATTTTACCACTAAGGTTAGTTATATAATGCATTAGATATAGCTTTTTATCACATACTCATGCCACTTTTGTGACTCTGTAAAATGGTTTTGCAAGCCGGCAGTACATATATTTTGATGTGACATCATATGCATTATACAAACAACATAGATACTTAAAATGTTGGCGTTACACTTTAGGCATGTCAACAACAAAAATGATTATTTTTCACTGTAAACATACATTTTTTAGGCATGTAATAAATAGATTCAATGAATTCAGTATTGAATCTACACTCATTTAATATCTTGTATATACCCTTCAATTACAAACAAAGAGCCAATTATAGAAAAATTCAAGAAATTGACCTATACAAACAAGGTCAGTTATGAGTCAAGGTCTAATACTTTACAATTTCAGCAAGTTAATTACAGTCAATTTAATTTAGAAAGATAATTTGAGTAATTTTAGAAATGAAGTGTACTCAAGATAAAGTCTACAGACATCCAGATGACGAGACATGCAAACAACCTCAAACAATTATACCCCCTTACAACTGAAAAGGTATAATAATGGTAATAATAGCCTTGACTTACCAGTCCAAATGTTATGAAAATAAGCTGTACAATGTCAGTATAGGCCACACTGATCATCTGTCCTACCATAGTATAGGCAACAGTCACACCAGCTGATGCAACTATAGCAACTGTAAGGTCAAGGTTAACTATAACACTCAAGCTGGTCCCTGTGAAAACACAACAATTTATTTTATAAAACACAACTGGTTTAATTCACAAAACAAAATGAAAATGGAATCTCTTCACATAAAATGCTTTAATTTTCCCTTTTGCAAAGTTTTGAATATTAATTTACACCATTCGGGTAATTTGTAACGAAAACTTATCTCACTGGGTGCATAAACCCTAAGCCTGCAAGAAGCGAAAAAAGAATTTACCCTTTGTCACCAACACAGAACCTGACCAGTCTGCATATTACCAGTGCAGTCTGAGAAAAATCTATACTGTTTTTAGCTCATCTCTTATACTGAAATCCGGTAAAATTCAAACACTGATCCAAATTAAAGGATGGGAAAATTTATTTCATGAATTCAGCAAGTTAAGGGACTCTACTGAGATTTTTTGACATGATTCTGATGGAAATGTTGTTTTTTTTTAGATTAGTGTACCATCTGATGTAGGTCTGAATCAAAAACTTGCGCCATGGTCACCTTGGCCTTAACCCTTTTGACCTCAAAATCATGAAATGACTAATCTCCATATGATATTTTTGGACTGTAAGTTCTGTAGTTATTGGTTGTGCATGTTAAGCGCCAGTGTATGGACTTACCCCATCACTGTTTGCTCCATTTTTAAGCAGGGGGAAATATTTGATTTTTTTATGTTTCTAGGCTTTTGGATCACAATGGAGTTCCAGTCAAGGGATAGAATGTACAAGGTGAGGACAAGACAATTTACCTAATGCTGAGAGAATAGAAGCTGTCCAGAAAAGATCGCCACACAATGATGCAAGGTACACTAACATCACTATTACATTGCCAAACCTCTCGTGGAATGGATCTAGCATTGTCATGTAGCATCTCTCTCGCATTGGCTTCGCATATACAAGACCACCTGAAAGACATTTATTGATATTAAAACGTGCTTTCCTGTTTACTTCTTGTATCTTTATTATCACCCTCATCCCCTTGTTTACTGTTCTAATATTAGTGAAAGAGCATTTAAAGGTCAGACCCAAGTTTCCTGTCAGGGAATGGCACCTGTTTTTACAAAACAATTTAACTAAAATGACAAGGCAATATGCATCAATGCATTTGATGACAATTATTTATGCTTAAATATAAATATACCACAAAATGAACATTTGCCAACATTCACCAATCTAATAACCTAAGTTTTCTGTCGGATAACATAAGAAAATGCCCCTATGTCATATGTCCTAATCCAGTGTTGATTTTCACGGAGACGTTTGCAGTTTTGTTACTTGTAGAAACAACAGGTATTTATCACAAAAACCGCGGCACGGGAGTGTAATAAAGCCATTTAATAAAAACGATATTACACTAGACAATATTACACTAGTGTAATAACACTTTGACGTCACGTCATTTGCGCTATAAACATAGCGTTAAAGCGCGGTAATACAAGCGTTACACTATGACGCGTCAAAGAAAAATGTCTCTTGTTTACAGTTTACCATTCTTATTTTATATATGTGATAAATAGAATATTATATTCGTGTAGATTCAATACTAAATTTATTGAACTCCTTGAATAAAACAATATTTTGCTCGCCAGAGGCTCACATAATATGATTTTATTCAACTCGTTTAATAAATTTAGTATTAAACCTACACTCATTTAATATCCTCTATGTATTGGTTAAGAATCTGACAATAATCATACTCCTTAGAAGTTCCCTTACTATCTGACTAGTCCAGTACATTTTGGAAGAGTCTCAATAATTTTTCAAAAGGTATTTGACCAGTTGATAAAGACATTTATGTAAAGTAAGGACTGGTCTGACAAATCAATATCTCAACAGATGAAATATTAAGGTTTGCTCTTTATAAAATTAATGTCTAGAAATGTAAGAAGTTCTCCAGTGGTTGTACTAACTGACCTAAAGGTTAATGTCCATCAGTCAATGACTTGGACTCAGGAATTTAACCCTGACTTGCAAATCATGCTAATACTACAAGCCCTTTTGTTTAATAACTGTTTTTCTTGTGTTTTTTTTTTACTTTTAGGGGAATGGTTGCAGGGGCCATTGAAAGGAGAAAATTGCATTGCAGAAGGGATAAAAGGAGAAAGTAAGGAACAGATAAAATAGTCCATGTTTTTGTCAAATTGTGAAATAATACTATGTTTTATGTCATACCCTGTCTCACCACTGTGATGAAATCAATATCAAAGGATATTTAGAGGGGAATTGTTTTTCAGAAATAGGGGAAAATATATACTTTCTGGGGAGGGGAATGGGGCCAAATTTCGACTCCAAAAATGCAAAAACAAGCAGTATGATACGGATTATAAATATACAGGGTTAAACTTCTTTTGACTCAGGTTTTAAACGGACAACAAATAGTTTGGAGTTTTTTTCTCTATGAGATATATAAAATAAATACAAACATCATGTGAAACTTGTTTGAAACTTTAGAAACCTGAGCAAGTCATTAAAACTCTCATCATTTATAAAACAAGATACTATCTTATTATAAAAACCTCACACAAGTAAACATGTACATATAATCAAATTGTCTCATATATCTTATAACCTATGAAAGTATATTGTTAACATAAATTAACGTTTGAAAAGAAAAAAAGACTTTGAAATATTATAATTTAATGTATTATAGTATATCTTAATAAAAATCACATATATATCTAAGATATCTAGTCAAGTTGTTTTTTATTCCATACATAAAAAAATAAAATCTAATATAACCTTTTATATCTTTTTAGTCATGTTTAGTAATACTATCAATGGCTCAAAGCTTATCTATAAATCTACACAAAAGTATGATATAAAATATAATTTTCCGTGTTTTTTTTTCTCTCACATATCTTAAAAAGTAATACATGTATAATATTTTGATCCAATCTCAACTATTCTACATATAAAATAATGCTTTCACTGATTCTCATTAGAATTGTGAAATTGACAGATCAAAAGTCGAAAAAATCGATCTCCTTAATAGGGCCTATTTTCGATGATTTCGAAAAGTAGAACCCTTAAATGAGACAATTGTGAAATTTTTTGAACATCAACCAAATACTTTGCGAGTACTACTCTCTGAAAGAAGCAACCCTAGTTGTCAAATTTATCCTATTGTAATGTACGCTACTATCAGTTTATTAATTAAAACATTCCGAATTTCATAAGAAATATTAAACATATCCACTTCAGAGAACTTTATTTTTGCCATGTATTCATTACATTTATAAAATAACAAAATATTTCACTATGAAACGCTTGAAATATTTTTTTCTTGAGCTTGTAAAGTTATCGCGATAAAACGCAATTCTACAAAAGTACGTTTATTTAAAATGCGGAATTTTTGATGATTGATTTCATTTGTATGATTCCATTTATTTGTTTAAACAATGACTTCAATGATGATAATGTGACGGAAAAAAAACTTTGCAAACAAAATACATGACTAAAATTTTGTGGTAGAGTCTTTTTGACAGAACATCAATTGTCTCGGACATTACGTAATCCAGTAAAAATATTCGTTGTGGGTAAAAGTAATAGTTATTATTATCATCATTTTATTATACAATCATTTTTTAAGTTTAGACTTAATATTATTAAGTGTGTTCATTTAAGCTTGAGTTAATAGCATGGGTAAATAATATTGCACAAACGAATTAAATTACGAGTATAACTATGTATCCGGCATACAAAAGAAGTTATATACCTGTTCTTATATTAATATCAATGTCATAAAACATATTTACTGAGATCGTGGGCATGTATGCAGCGTACAGAATAACAATACATATATTACAATTCATGCCTTTGATATTATTAAGGCTACGTACATCAAATTTTAAGATTTGAACAGAACATTTCAAAATAGACACCTTACTAGCCAATATTGAGATAAATGTATTTTAATTGTTAATTATTATGTGCTTCCTACGTAGTTTAAAATATTTCAATTACAAAGAGCCAACATTGTCTTTTCCTCTTCTACACTTGTAAGTGCAATTACTACTTATTTCTAATACATATTTCACCATATTATGACTGTAGAGATGAAGAATTTTTTCAAGGTCTGCGTGAAATGTTCGATACTAATATTGTAATGTTTGATACATCGTTGTAATATGTTGTAGACGCTATCATGTGTATAATATTGTAGATGATATATTTTAAACATGTCAGCAACTATGTTTATAGTATCTGATAATATTTTCAGTTATTATATGTATGTTTATAATAGTAGTTTTTTTTTTTAACGCGGTGAAACGTTATTAGGGTTTGAAACTGATTTAGATGATAATCAACAATATTGCCTTATATATATTTACGCATTTAAATTACAAACACCTATTTACTTTATTTAAACAATATATAATTATGGAATATTTCCCCAAAACAAAAGCAAAATCGCTGAAAACATTAACAAATGTATAGATTGCCATCAGAATAATTCAGTAATGTTCGATACGAAATGTAGTGAACATTACAATACCTATTATGAAAGGCTTATCACTTATAATCTATATCTAAACAACTTCAGTAAGAAAACCTTGCATACAGATTCTGGCTTTAGAAGAAAATTAATATTAAACGTATTACATCTTTGTTTTTGTAGTTACAAGAATCTGATATTCAGTTACTAGATTCTAAAGCCTTACTTATACAAAATTAAGAAAATTTGATTATAACTGTAAAAAATACAAGGATGTATACATTTATGCTGCATCTATGATTAAGTATAACACAAAAATGACTAGTTTAAGTCCTGGTTAATTGAAAATTAAGTATACTAAAGCCATGTTACATTTTTATTGTATTGAACATTACAGTCGCATACATTACAGACATATGTGTATATAGATATATTAAAAGATTCGTGGGTACAATTCTTTAAGATTTGGTTATTATATATCCCTCGAAATGTAAATCATTTATTAAAAATTCCTTATTTGGGAAATAGTGCATAGAACGTACTAATTTTTATGTAGCGAACATTACATGCTTAAGTCATCATCTGGCACAGACTGTCAAAGTTATAGAATCTCGGTTAATTCTTAGAATTTATCATAAGAAAGATAAGTCTGGCTATAGTAGCATAAGTATTTAATTGTAAATAAACATATAAACGACTTAGATTACTAAGTTATTTTCAGTTATGTGCGGCACTTAATTTACAAGTCGCGTACATTACCGATGCCAGTAAATTTTGGCGACAGTTCTAAAACATTCTACATTTGACAAAGATCAGTCTTTTCAAGTGGGTCAAGCTTCGAAAACAGATAAGAAGGCATACATACTCCTGCACAAATTAATTTTTTGCCGGAATTGTATAGGTTTTTGGGGTTACACTAGCTCAAACACGAATAATCCAAAATGGCGACAGTCTCGAACATTACATTTCCAATAGCTTCCCTCATAAAATTTTGGTATCGAATGTGTTATCAATGAAGTCTAGGGATCAAAAAATTCCCTTATATACTTTTTGTACGTTAGCTATCAAAAAGCAAGTTTTTCTGAATCGATTATGTTCAGAGTGTGCAGCGACATCAATTTCACAATTCGCGTGAGAATAAGTGTTTACAAAAATATCATGTAGCAGTTTTTATTTCATTATTTGGGGAAAAGGAGACAGGTCACACTTCTGGAGAATAGTCTTTAGAAAGTAAAACCAAAATAAATTTGTTCTTTAAACATCAAGATAGTACTGAAGATTCAGTCTAAATAATGAATCTAATTTTCTATTTCATTTTATTTCTTTTATTTGAGGAGACAGTCATGAAATCTTCAAAATCCATACTTTTTGAAAAGGGGAATGGGGCCTATTTTCAGTACCTGAAAAGGCCTAAATATAAGATAAGATATACTTTTGAAATACAAGTGCATTCAAAATGATATCTTGGCTTAATGTTAATGTTGTCATTTTATTAGGTTGGCACATGCAGTTAAGAAATTTGAAAGCAATCAGAAAACATCTCACTCAGAAATCTGCAGAAATCCTTGTTCACGGTTTGATTCATTCACATTTAGACTTTTGCAATGGATTATTCGCTGATATTCCAGCCTATCAACTTGATAAATTACAACGTGTGCAGAATTATGCTGCTAGAATTGTCACTGGAGCTGCTTACTATCAATCCAGTGCTGAAATTCTTAAATCACTCCAATTCGAGCAAGAATCATGTACAAAGTTATTGTGACTGTGTTTCGTGTTGCAAATGGCACCGCTCCATTGTATCTTCGTAAATTATTCACTAAATGCCAGAGTCAGTACAGGAAAAGACTGAGATCCTCATCATCTAGCCACATTCGGTTTGATATACCATCAACAAATTCAAAACTTGCTGACAGATCCTTGGCCATTGTGGGACCTAAATGGTGGAATTCATTGCCAGACTATCTGACGGACATTACCAATGAAAATCAGTTTAAGGCCAAACTTAAAACATACTTGTTTGGACTGTTTATCAACTAGAGTTGTAGATTGGCTGTGCCATCGAAACTGGGTCTGGGAGTGTCTTGATCAAGCATATGTGTATATAGTCTTAATAATGTACAGCGCAATTGAATATTCAATACATTTTTGCGCTATATAAATGTCTTGTATTTGTATTTGTTCATGTCAAGGGATTGTCACTAAAGAGAAATCTACTTTGAACTTGTATGCTACAATCTAGAAACACCTGTAATCGGTATATACATGTTATCTAGCTTGCAAGGTGGCAGAGTTTATTTTATACCTATTTATTTTATATTTAAAAGATCCTACATGTACATTATAATCATCATTTGTGTGATAGCAGACTTGAATCACAGTCAAATTCATTTTTGGAACGTGTAATTTCAACTAAACACATGACAATGGAGGTCCAATTTAATGCAAGATCCTTGCAACTTTACCTGTGAGAAGGCCTAGAAATATACCAAGAGGAGCCAATGTCCATACTAAACCATCTGTTGCTATGGATTCAGCTGTTCCATTAATGTATCCCCCTCCTACAGTAGTGGCTGAAATATTGAGAAATAACATACACAAATGTACATGTAGCTGAAAATACATGTATTCAAAAGAAGACTTACTGTTATTCTGCCTACTTTTTAATAAAATGAAATACACATAAATGAAATATTATTCATTTTAATAGTGACTTTACTTTAGAACCCCTTTGTATTTTTTTTTGTTTCTGAAAAGACAACCAGTGATCTGCTATAAAGATCATTTTATAGTGAACAAAAAAAACATAATAAATTATGATTTATCAGCACTATGTATTATATAATTATGAATTAGGATCTCCTATATTCAGTGATTTCGTTAAGAGGCAACTGTAGGCAAAAATGACTGTTTAAAATAAATTTTAGGGCACTTCAAAGCTTAGAAAACACTCTTTTTGTATGTGATAGACCAAAAATGACCACCTTCAAAATGGAATAACTAGGAAAACTTTCTTTGCATGCATTAATTTCATCAATACTCAAGTAACATATTACAAACATTATCCTTTTTGATAACATTTGTCAGATCTTTATATTTTTATTTATCACACACCCGTGCCGATTTTGCGACTCCGTAAATATGGTATTGCACGGCCGTGCATATATTTTGACGTGACGTCATAAGCGTTATACAACATAGTGTAAAGACTCGCTAAATGTTAGCGTTATACTATAGGCGCGTTAATGAAAAAATACTCTTATTTCACTTTAAACGGTCTTTATTTTTGGTATGTGATAAAAAGAATATTAAATTCATGTAAGTTCATTACTGAATTTATGGCACTCGTTGAATAAAATGATATTATGCTCGCCAGAGGCTCGCATAATATAATTTTATTCAACTCGTGCAATAAATTTAGTATTGAACTTACACTCATTCAATATCGTCTATATATTACATGTTTATATACTGGAATACATTAAAATCACCTGTCATTGTGAAAATTCCAACAAATGTGCTGATATTTCTGTCCGCCACAATGGATGACTCCATCTGACTGGTCCCCCCATTTTGTTTCTTTCTCCGAGCAGCAAGCACTCCAACGATGAAGATCACAAGATAAAACACAATCAGTACAACCAGTCCAGCTACATTAACTCCCATTACCTGGAATATAAATAATCTTATCTCAAACAGTGATTTTATAAGGGACAATTTGGGGCCGATTTCCGCCCCATTCCTCTTATCCAGAAAGTATATATTTTCCCCTATTTCTAAAAGAAAATTCTCTCCAAAAGTAAAACAAGGGGGCCACTGGCCCCAAAGCGCTCACCTGAGAACAGAAAGTTATTAGTGTTAAAGCCGTGAAATCTAGTGTTTGTTACATTTCTTACACCTTAACCTGTACACATGGTCCAAAACTCATAGCTGTATATTAAAGGACAAGAAAGTAGGTCACTTGGTCAAAATCTACGTCAGATGATATCAAAGTTGAACTGTGCATAGTCATGGTTCAAATTTCATAGCTGCATCAAAAGACAAGAAAGTGGGTCACTTGGTCGAAATCTAGGCCAGCTCATATCAAAGTTCAATTTTACATCTGAAGCTGAGCACAAATTTTAAATCAGTATATCAAATAAATATACAGGTCCACCAGACAATGCTTCATGTCAAATATTTAAGCACTAGTTTTATCCGTTTCTGAAAACATAATTTTTAGTGTTTCTTTAATGAACATTGTATATAAAAAATACTCTTGACTCAAAGGGGCAGGGCTTATTTTGGCCATGTGCCGGTGCGAGTTAGTGATACGTTAGTTTTCATTTGATACCGATTTAAATAAAGTCTTCTGTTTTCCTGCGAGTTTCCACTATATTTTGCGGACCAGCAAATTTTTCATGATTTTGTAAACAAACAGTCATGCGACAAGGTGTGGAAAATGTAATTTTATGTGCAGAGCTTGGAAGAGAAGTATGACTGAATAGTTACATATATTTGTTTATTAGAAGAATACATACTTTGATTGACACTAGAAAGAAATGGCATAGGTCAGGGATAACATTGACACTAGAAAAAAATGCAAAAGGATAGCATTAATGTTGAAATTTATGTTGGTCACTCAGTTATGAATACATTTCAATTCTTGGTTTCTTCAGGAAATAGAAGTGTGGGTAAAAATAATTACTTCTTTAATACATAAAGAAATTCTGTTTGAGCTTATTTATGTGTGAATTAGAAGACTTGAAGTAGTTACAAAACAATGGTTGATTTTTTTCAATATTCAGTGATGGGGGTCTACAATAAAAGTATCTGTGTAATTTTGTGAAAACTAATTCTTATATTTGTTTTGTTTAACAATTACATTAAATGCCATTTGAAAATGATCTGTAAAAAAACCTTATTCATGAATCTATACATACAAATTGAAAAATTTCTTCGCTTACTTATTCAAATACATTCATAAACAAGAGCTGGTTGAACAGGGTAATGCTCCCCAAATAGGTTTTGGACACAGGAAGGTATACCTCTTGTAGTGTCAGAGATATGTCACAGACAAAGTTCAAAGTGTAAAAACAACCAAAATGTTGTGCGCAACACATCATCTAAATATGGTGATCATTTCTGTGAAATAGTTGTAAAATCTGACTTCAAATAACAAAGTTATGGGCTGGACACGATTTTGCTGCAAGGTCATGCTTTGACCTTGACCTTCAAGGTAGCGACCAAAATGTTGCATGTGACATGTCGATTCAATATGGTGATCATCTCTGTGAAATAGTAGTTAAATCCGACTTCAAGTAACGAAGTTATGGGCCGAACACGATTTTGCTGCAAGGTCATGCTGTTACCTTGACCTTCAAGGTAGCCATCCAAATGTTGCATGCTACACATTGTCTCAATATCGTGATTATAATGGTGAAGTAGTTTTAAAATCCAACTTCAAATAACGAAGTTATGGGCTGGACACCATTTTGCTGCAAGGTCATGCTGTGACCTTGACTTTCAAGGTAGCGACCCAAATGTTACGCGCCACATGTCGACACCATAAGGTGATCATTTCTGTGAAATAGTTTTAAAATCCAACTTCAAATAAGGAAGTTATGGGCGGACATGATTTTGCTGCCAGGTCATGCTGTGACCTTGACCTTCAAGGTAGCAACCAAAATGTTGTGCGCGACATGTCGTCTCAATATGGTGATCATTTCTGTGAAATAGTTTTAAAATCCAACTTCAAATAAGGAAGTTATGGGCTGGACACGATTTTGCTGCAAGGTCATGCTGTGACCTTGACCTTCAAGGTAGCGACCCAAATATTGCGCGCTACACGTCGTCTCAATATGGTGATCATTTCTGTGAAATAGTTTTAAAATCTGACTTCAAATAACAAAGTTATAGGCCGGACATAATTCCCGACATACATACGGACGGACTGACAGACAACCCGGCGACTATATGCTACCCTGAAATTTTTGAGGAGCATAAAAACTAGAAATATGTCCATAGGACACGGATGCCCCCCCACACACCACTGTTCTGTCAATCTTATGACACTAGGTCAAATATTTTTTGGACTACAATAAAATACCACCTAACGACCACGCCACAAATAGGACCACGCCGCTATTAAGGGCACTTTTCAAAAGTACAAAATATTTGCCTTCTTTATACATTGAGAAAAATGATCAATATGGCGACCACATCTCTAATCCGGCATTGCGACTACTTGTGACAGACATTTGTGTGCATTTCTTATTAAATCATTAACCTGTATTACGACCATGCAACATAATGACCACCCAACACGATGTGTTAATTGCCCCCATTGACAGAATCTTTCCTCCGGCATAAACGCTTGGCTTGATTTACGATCTACCATTAGTATTCAAGCGTCAGCATGATTGGGATTAAATCTCTTCAACAATTAATTTTGTTGGTAATTAACAGGTGGTCAATAGCAATTTAATTTGTTTGTTGGTGGCAAGTATGGGTAAAAGCCACTAACGGTTGCAAAAGTGTGTTTTATTTAGATATGCAATTAATGTTTAAGTCATAATGAGAAGTGCAAATTTCTACCGATCAAAATTTTTAATTCTTTATATATTGTTCTGCCTTTGAATAAAAGAAATTATGCACTAGTCCTTTATATTTTGGAAAAATTGTTAAACCTCAGTCTTCTATTAGTTTGCATTCTTATGGCCCTTACAATCATTGCTTGCTAAATCTATCAAATATTAAATTTAAATGTTTAAAATCTAAAGAAAGTTAAAAAAAACCACCTAAATCAATGTCTGCTACATGAGTACATAAACATTCAGTTTAGTTGGACTGCATTAGTTCTAAAAGTGGCTTATTCACTATTAAGACCAGTTCACTATTAAGACCACTTTGAGTCAGTCCCATTAGTGGTCCTAATAGAGAGAATTTACTGTAAATGTTCCACAAGTTGAAAACTAAAAATCTTTTACTTAGTAAAGGGCAAGAACTTTACAAATCCTGAATAAATCCACAAGCAAATCCCAGTGCATAAGTACACATGCTGACCAACATTCTTTCAGGCCTACTGTTGAAGTCAAATACTTTTTGAGCTATGCATGAACAAGTTGAAAATTGCAAATTTATACTACTGTAAGTCAAGGGCAATAACTCTTACAAAACTGAAAAAGAATCCACAAAGTCCCAGGTGTATAGCTTCACAGTGATGTGATCCTGTAAAGTTGGTTGATTCTAACTCAAGCACACAAGGAACAAATAACACAACATCATAAAACGGTTTTTACTAAGTCAAGGGCAGTAACTCTAAAAATACAGTGTTTTTTTTCTTTATATAACTACTACCCTAAAACGGTACTGTTCCCAATAGAAAATAGACATTAAAATTCCCAATTTCCAATGATTAAATTCCCAAAATGGCTGTTCAAAATTCCAACAAGGCCAAGAAATTTCTCTGAAATCATTTTAATCCAACATATTCATATAAATCACCACTTCATAGTTTTACCTTGACAGTGGAAGCTGTTAGCTATCTTTATTCATGATGATTAATCTCATTTGTAGCTGAAAAAAATGCATTAAAAAATATTCCCAATATAAGTCTAAATAACGCATTTTTTCCCAATCAGTCTGGTACGGGCACCATTCCCAAAGTAGAGAAAAAAAAACGCTGAAAAACTAAATTAATCCACATGAAAATACCCAGGTGCACAGCTACACATGCTGATCAGCATCCATGTAAAGTTTCATGACTCTATGTCAAATCCTTTTCGACTTAAATGGGACACAAGTTGAAAATTGAAATTTTTTTACTAAGTTAAGGGCAATAACTCTAAAAATACTATATAAATTCACATGAAAATACCCAGGTGCACAACTATACATGCTGATCAACATTCCTGTTAAGTTTCATGACTCTAGGACAAATACTTTTTGAGTTACATGCGACACAAAAGAGAACGGACGGAAGGACGAATGGATGGACGGACAAGGGTAAATCTAAATGCTAATTGTTCATCTTCATTTGGAAGACTGTGTTATGATCAATGCTTAGTAATTGGATTTTGAGATATTTATGGATAGTATGTAATTTTATGGACAGTCTTTTAATTTAAAACTTTTCAATCCATTAATAAACAAACTGCAGATCATTCAAAATACAGCTGCCAGCATCATATCCAGGACTTCGAGGTACGACCATAATTATCACACCTGCTCTTAAAGAACTACATTGGCTTCCAGTGCAATGCAAGATTCTGTTTAAAATGCTTATGCATACTTACAAAGCTTTGTTCAATCACCAAAATAAATAAAAGAAATGTTATGTGTTTAAAAACCAAGAAGAAATCTGCAATCTCAGAACAAAGCAAAATCATTAGCGATACCAAAAAGTACAACAGTTACTGTAACTTACAGAATCCGACTATTTGAATATGTAGCTCCAAAACTATGAAACAATCTACCCTCCGGTCCAAGCCACTCAAGCTAATTAAGTTCTTTCAAATGTGAACTTAAAACACACTATTTCAAACAGGCTTATGAATACTGTAGCGTTTTATTAGTAATAATCTTTTTCATATCTTTCAAAAATGATTTATAAAAAGTTAGAAGCACATGAGAACTGTTTTCTTAACTGTCTGCTCAGATTAACAGGTAAAGGTCAACCTCGTAATAATTTGGTCAAACATTTTGGCAAAATGGCGGCCAAGTGCTGATTTTTTTATCTGAAACTATTAGGCAGTTGATATGTTTGTAATAAGTTTTTTGATATGTTGATACTCAGCTTATCAACAGAGTTTTATTGAGATGTATGATTCACTTTATTACATGCTCGCTGAATTAATACGAATGTCAGATTCCTAGCATATTTATTGGTGGGATTTCCCTATGGGTCTGTCTTCATGTCTGCAACATTCATGTCATCTCCCACCATATAAACGGGTATGCTGAAAAATTTAAGCGCTTACCATACAGTTACATTTAATCATAAATTAATCATATACATTTTCTTCTATTTTCATACTTAATGTCTATAGATTAAAAGATAAAAAAAATCTATAAAAATAGAGGCCCGTACGGCTAGCCAAAAGTTCTAGCTGTATGTGAGTCGCATACGGCTAGCCAGGACACACTGTTCTAATTAGCCATACGGCACTATTCAAAATTATATAAATGTCGAAATTGCATATGCAATTTTTTGTCTTTAAACAAGGATTTTAACCAAGTACCTGCATTCGTCCTCTGTGTTCACTTAAATAAAGATAAAGAAAAAATTAATACGAAGGATATTGAAAGCTTTGTAATCTTTATAAGGATTGTCAAGTGTTATAGGACAGAGATGACTGGCGTGCCAAGCAAGTGTTGGCACTTTGGGGCCGAACCGACTCCGATTCACTCAAATCACCGTCATAATCTGGTTCGCGAAAACCAATGACAAATATCAAGTTTACCCGACATTTCTTAAAAACTAGAATAATAAAGTTTGAATCTGATAGATACCTTAATACAGACCTTATGCTTCTACTGACATTGTACAACAATTCTCAGTTTCTAAGAAAAACCTTGTAAAACCTGGACATGCTCGAGTTTAGTTTACACATGGAAAGTAATAAACCCAAATGAACGATAACTACAAAAAAGTAATTACAACTACAGTTAATCAAAGCACTGGATGTACTGATGAAAGAGGCTATGACAGAATGTTTCAGACTTATAGTTTCTTTTCTTTTTGCCTAAAATGTGCTGTTATTTTAATTATTACCAAAATAAGAAGATATGCACATTGCGCCATTTATCCTTACTGTTGTGTTCAACCATTCATATATATGGTTTATATGGTTGACTATTCATTTTGTTAATATTCCAGAACATTTCATTGAGGTCTACATATTCGGACTGTTAATCATGCAAATTTTGAAAAACCTAAACTGCCATTTATAAATGACATACCAGCAAGTATGACGACTGTTCATTATAAGGTCATAATACCATTTTACAACTGACGGTTCCTTATCAAAATATTCTAGGACTGTTCATCATAAATACTTTAATATGTCATTTTAATATCATTGAATGATAATAACAACTGCAAGTTATGCAACATTTTTATTGAACATAAAAAATATACTTATTTACATGTACCATAATTAAGATCAATAAGACACCACTGTCTTGTGATTAGTATTAATATTCATGCTCTACGGACAGAAAGTTGTCTTCTCCCGAAGCAAATCTCGAATAAAATCACGTTTCAGAAAATTATTCCCATTTCATTACTCGTCGCTGACTTTGACGGCTTCGGATAATATTAAAGCTAAATATTTCTTGAAAAAAATACATATCTGCAAAGCTTATTCAAAATTGAATCAACCTAAGTGAAAAGATCAGGAAGTTATATCTTCTTTTTTACCGCCAACACTCAACCAACTTATGGTATTCTACATGTATTGTTAAACCTCACTAGCTTGAAATATATACTGCGGAAAATCTGTTGTTCACAGAGTGTGCGGTTATTATGTAGGGTTTTCCTTGTCGACCATTTCCCGCAAATAGATGAGAACATCGAAGCGTCAGTGCTATGAATGGTGTTATAAATAGCGTGTTTTGGAAGTTTTTGTTGAAACTTCTCCAAATCCCACCAGAGGCATGCACGTCGCGGAGAAGGCACACGGCAGGTCAAGGTCAAGTCATCTAAAGTACCAGAGGTGATTGGTTGACCTGTCGAAACTTACTCTGGAGGTTTGGCGCTACTGAATGCCGTTTTTGTTGTCGTCAGTCAGGAAGTTGATGCATTGACAGTATTGTCGTCTCCTTTACCACTAACGAACGAAGAATGGGCAACCAGGAAGATTCTGCTTGAAAAAGACGTCCCCGATGCTATAATCTCGGACATATGGTTATTCCGGCGCCGAGTAAAAATGAACTTAAAACACACACACACTTGTGTTGAAAACAAAACAAAAAAAAAACAACAACACTTTTTCTGAAGTAATTTTTCAAGTGTTGTAAAATGAATACGAAATTCGTCTTATGCCGCTAATTATTTTTAGAACACAAACATATAAGTTCTTTTTATTTATGATTATTTTTTTTAAAGCTTCTTATTCTTTAAAATTTTCATGTATCTCATAATCTGTATTGAAAATTGTATTACACATGGACTATCAAATTATGATTCGTTGCCCTAGAATTCAATAAACTTTTTAATTACACAATACGGGGTCATTCATTTGATTGAAGACTGATCTTTGCGTCTTTCTCTGAAATACTATTTTCCTTTTTAAAACATATTTGACCACATATTTCTGTTATTTAACTCTTCACTTTACTTCCGATTTTTGTTGTACCGAAACACATGTTTCTATTTGTGTTTTCTATTCGAATCTATAATCAGCTGCCAGTTTAATGGGATCACCGCCGGGTAAACGACTACTAGGTACTTTTGTCATGTTTTTTAACCCAAATATTTGAATGTTTCTATTGGGATTAAAATGAGCGTAGATAACTTAACAACTGGTTGTATAAATCCCTGACCTGTTTGTTGTAATGTTCGTTTATTATGAACAATAATTAATAGAAATTAAACCAAGTGCGTTGATACAATGAAGTAAAGTAAAACACGACGAGTGTTCAGCACAAGATATAAATTTATTCTGTAAACCCTTAACATGTGATCTTAGATTTACTAGAAATACGGAGCATGCGCACACAAGCATTATACATAGGTCAGCTCTAGTTCATCATGTACGATGATACTACATCTCCCTGTTTTTAAAAGAAAAAATAAGCAACACATGTTTATAAAATTGTATATGATAATAAACAATTATGATGATTAAAAATGCATATACATACTGAAGAGAACAATTTAAATTGTCTTAAAGTCACAAAGTTTTTTATTATTATTATTATTATTATTTAATTTCTGTTCTCTCTCTCTCTTTTTTTTTTTTTTTTTTTAGATTATAATGTCTATCAATTCCCGATGATTAATTAACAGTGCTCTATTCATCGGAATTGTAACGATTATTGTGTTTTACTATTAGACCACTGCGCGTCTGATAACCTGTGCCTGACCTTGTTTCATAGTTAATAGGATTTTGAATATTCTTGGAAATACTTGTATCATTAATTTTAAAGGTGCTTTGTTTGAGATTACATCATGAGGATCTTGACCTTGGTGGAGGATATTAGGGAAGGACTCTGTATTGATAGGGAACTTTTCCCGCGTTTTGTTTATGAAGCGGCGATTACGGCGGTAAATAGCGCCATCTTCAGTTTGCACTTTGTATGATCTCTCCCCTTCTTTTTTTAGAACTATGGCTGGTTTCCAAGTTTTCCCAAATTGCACCCTGCAAGAGTCATCTTTGTTTAGCGGGGGAAGTGACCTTGAACTTTTATCATAATAGTTCTTTTGCGTAACCTTGTTTTCTTGCAGAGATTTTCTTACAGATTTGTGGTTAATGAAAGATGGTTTCAATTGCTCATTAGTTGTAGGCAAAATGGATTTTAACCGTCTGCCCATTAACAGTTGTGCGGGAGAATATCCGCAGTTTAAAGGTGTGTTACGATATTCCAGAAATGCTAAATATGGGTCTGTTTTGGTCTCGTGGCATTTTTTCATTGATTTTTTGGCTATTGAGACCATTTTTTCTATGAAACCATTGGATTGGCTATATCCAGGTGAAGATGTTACATGTTTAAAATTCCAGTCAGAAGCAAATTTTTGAAATTCTTCTGAGCTAAACTGTGGCCCGTTATCGCTTTTCAATGTTTCTACTTGACCATAGCGAGCCATATGCATTGTTAATTTTCTAATAACAGTTTTACTTTTTGTTTCTGGCAATGCATCGACTTCAAAGTAATTACTGTAGACGTCCGCAGTTATAAGGTAATCACGTCCGTCAAGCGTAAATAAGTCAGCGGCAATATGTTGCCAGGGTCTTTGGGGCACAATGTGGGGATTTAATGGTTCCTTCACATTTGATGCTCTGTGTGTTAGGCATAAAGGGCATGCTAACACGTGGTCTGTGACCTGTTTGACCATGCCTGGCCAGAACATAATATCCTTGGCCCTGTTCAGCGTTTTAGTCACTCCCATATGACCTACATGAACAGCGTTAATCATTTCAGTTCGCAATGAACTTGGAATGACCAATGTTTGACCACGGAAAATTATGTCATTTAGAGTCGAGAGTTCATCCCGATGATTCCAAAATTCTAATATGGAATTCGGGCACTCGTGCCTAGATTCAGGCCAGCCGTCAATAATTGTTTGTTTCAGTGTCTGAAACTGACTGTCTTGCTGTGTGGAAAGTCTGAGGTCTTGTAATTTTCCGTCGCTAACCGGTAAACTATTAATAACCGTGTGCACGTGCACGTCAAGTCCGTCAGACAATTCTGGATACGTATCCTTGACAAAATTACGGGATAGTGTATCCGCTACGGGAATGCTTTTCCCGCTAACATGTACGACTCTATGTCGAACTGTTGAATCTGTAATAAGAGACGTTGTAGTCTGGGGGTCGCCCGACATATTTCTTTTTTCATAACTGAAACTACAGGTTTGCAATCAGATTCAACTTTAGTATGTCTTGCGTAACAGTATTGCTTGAAACGTCGAAGACCATGAAGTATAGCTAATGTCTCTTTTTCTATTTGAGCATAACCTCTCTCTGTAGGGGTCAAGGTCTTTGATGCAAATGCAATGGGCTTGCCGTCCTGTAAGCACGTGCAACCTAAACCACGTGCACTCGAGTCGACTTGCAATGTGACAGGCTTTTTCGGGTCATAGTATGCCAAGACTGGTGCCTTAGTCATTGCGACTTTAACCTTTTCAAAGGCGTCAATTTGCGCACTGTCCCATATAAACTCAATGTCTTTTTTCAACAAGTCACGCATAGGGCTTACCATTTCTGCCAATTTTGAATCAAATTTTGACAGATACGTGATCATGCCAAGAATAGTTTCTAACTCTGACTTATTTTCTGGAGCTTTCATTTCTACAATTGCCCTGATTTTTTCGGGATCGGGCTTAAGACCGTCAGCTGTCAGTACGTGACCAAAGTATTTAACTTCCTGAGAGCCGATTACACATTTGTCTGGGTTAAACCTTATACTCTTTTCACGTGCTCGGTCCAAAACACGTGTCAGGTTTGCATCGTGCTCTTCGATAGTCCGTCCGTACACAAGAAGATCGTCTACTATTGACGTCACGCCCGTCACGTCCTCGAAAAATTCGTCGATTTTTTGACAAAATATGTCTTGGGAACTTTTGATACCCATAGGAAGCCGCAAATATCGGTATCTACCGAAGGGACTATTAAATGTCGTCAAATATGAGGATTCGTCCGTCAATTTTATCGACCAATAACCTTTCGTTGCGTCTAATACACTGAAATACTTAGCACCTGTCAATTGGTTTGTCACGTCTTCTATAGTCCTCATAGGGTAGTGCGGTCTCATGATATTGTCATTTAGTGCTTTAGGATCTAAGCACACCCTCAGCTTTCCAGTGCTGGGTTTTTCCACACAGACTAATGAATTGACCCAGTCAGTCGGTCTAGTAACCTTTTGGATAATTCCTTTATCCTCCATTGACTTCAACTCATT